AGGGTACTGAGGGTTTCTATGGAAAGTTCTTCTCTGGGGAGTTCCTCGTCAGGGGCCCCCCCTGGGGGCCCCCCTCTCTCAGGGTCCCCCCGGGGGGCCCCCACGAAGGGGGCCCCCCCTCGAGGAGAAGAGAATGGGGGCCCCATGCATGGAATATCAATAGAAAAACATTTTGTTTTTAAAACTTCGCTGCTGCACCTGCAGTTTGAGGGGCCCATCATACCCCCCAGCGAGCCCCCCTGCAGCCACTGCAAAAATAAAAGAATTAAATGCATCTGTCAGTCTGTGCAACTTGTAGGAAAGTAAGTTCACTGCAGCAGCAGCAGCAACTGCTGCTGCTGCTGCTGCTGCTGGTGCTGCTGGTGGTGGTGCTGCTGCTGGTGCTGCTGCTGCTGGTGCTGCTGGTGGTGCTGGTGCTGGTGCTGCTGCTGCTGGTGCTGCTGCTGCTGGTGCTGCTGCTGCTGGTGCTGCTGCTGCTGCTGCTGGTGCTGCTGCTGGTGCTGCTGCTGGTGCTGATGCTGGTGGTGCTGCTGCTGGTGCTGCTGCAGCAGGAACATATACAGAAGCAGAAGCAGCAACAGTAGCATTAGCAGCAGCAGCAGCAGGAACATATACAGAAGCATAAGCAACAGCAGCAGCAGCAGCAGCAAGAACATATACCGAAGCAACCGCTTAGGGTTTAGGGTTTAGGGTTTAGGGTTTATGAATATGTACTTGTGTGTGTGTGTGTGTGTGTGTGTGTGTGTGTGTTTTTTCTCTTCTATGCTCTGCTGCTGCTTCTGCTGCTCCTCCTGCTGCTCCTCCTCCTCCCGCTCCTTCTCCTTCTCCTTCTGCTCCTTCTCCTGCTGCTGCTGCTGCTGCTGCTGCTGCTGCTGCTGCTGGTGGTGCTAGTACTGAGGGTTACGAGCTGCCTGAGCTGCATGCAGCAGCAGCACGGCTGGAGGCGAGCCGCAGCCGGCTGTCTTTCATCCCGATAGAGGAATGGAAAAAACACACAACACAAACAGATACACTTAAACTTGTTATACCCACCATCAAACAAAAGGCATGCATGCACTCTGCTGCTGCTGCTGCTGCTGCTGCTGCTGCGGGTGGTGCTGCTGCTGCTGCGGGTGGTGCTGGTGGTGGTGCTGCTGCTGCTGCGGGTGGTGCGGGTGCTTAGGGTGGTGGTGGTGGCGGTGGTGGTGAGGGTGCGGGTGCTAGTGGTGGTGTTCCTGCTGCTGCTTCTGCTGCTGCTGCTGCTTCTATGTGTATATATATATATATATATATATATANTATATATATATATATATATATATATATATATATATATATATATATATATGCATGCATGCATGCATGCAGGTGCTGGACCGCGAGGGTCACAGCCCCGAGTTGTTGATAAATTCGTGGACAAAATTTTATGAAATTCTCGCGCAGACGCCGCTCATCAAGCCCCGGCTGCAGCAGCTGCAGCAGCAGCAGCAGCAGCAGCAGCAGCAGCAGCAGCAGCAGCAGAAGCAGCAGCAGCCGAAAGTTTTTAAGAGTATTCATCTCTGTGAATGCCCAGGAGGATTTATTGCTGCAACAAACCACTTCATCAAGACAGAAGCTAGTGCGGACCTGCTGCTGCTGCTGCTGCTGCTGCTGCTGTTGCTGCTGCTGCTGCTGTCGCTGCTGCTGCTGTTGCTGCTGCTTCTGTTGCTGCTCCTGTTGCTGCTGCTGCTGTTGATGTTGCTGCTGCTGCTGCTGTTGCTGCTGCTGCTGTTTGTATTGCTGCTACTAGTCGTCTCACTGCTTGTGCTGCTGCGCGTATTTTTGCTTGTATTGCTCTTCTTGCTGCTGCTGCTGCTGTTGCTGCTGTTGCTGCTGCTGCTGCTATTGCTGCTGCTGCAGTGTTTGTTTATCTTCTCGTTTGAGGCCTCCTCGTTGCTGCACCTCCGGTGTTGCTGCTGCTGCTTTTGCTGCTGCTGCTTCTGCTGTTGTTTCTGTTGCTGCTTCTATTTGCTGCTGCTGCATGCATGAACACATCCATCCATACATCCATACACGCATGCATGCATGCATGCGCGGGTGCATGCATGCATGCATGCGTGCCTGCATGCATGGCTGCATGCATGCACTTCTGCATGCATGCACTTGTGCATGCATGCACTTGTGCATGCATGCACTTCTGGGTGCATGCATGTGTGTGTGTGCATGCAGGGTCTATATTTTATTCTTGGCGTGCTTCATCTCTAAACCCTTATTTTGAGTGTTGCAGTCCATCGAGGGTTTTGGACGACGATGAGGTGTACAGACACACGGAGAGAAGGTGGCTCAGCAGCAGCGACGGCAGCGGAGACATCTGCAGCAAGGAAAATATAGAATACCTGTGGAGACAAACCACCAGACCAGTGCAACACGGAATACCTCCCTTTGGACTCGTATGCTTCAGGGTTTAGTAGGGTTTAGGGTTTAGGGGTTAGGGGTTAGGGGTTAGGGGCGAGGGTTTAGGGTTTAGGGGCGAGGGTTTAGGGTTTAGGGGTAGGGGCTAGGGTTTAGGGTTTAGGGGTTAGGGGCTAGGGTTTAGGGTTTAGGGTTTAGGGGCTAGGGTTTAGGGTTTAGGGTTTACGGGGGAAGAGTGGTGAGGGTTTAGAGTCAAATGGTATAAAATGAGTGTTTAGGGTTTAGGGTTTGTGTGTTCCTATAAGCTGTCTCGTTCCCGCTCTCGGTGCTGCATCTCTTTCCCTTCTCATGTTTAGGGTTTAGGGTTTAGGGTTTAGGGTTTAGGGTTTAGGGTTTGTGTGTGTCAGGCGGACCTGGTGACAGCAGACGGCTCGTTTGACGTGCAGCACGATCCGGGGAGACAGGAGGAGTTGGTGTCTCCTCTGGTGTATGCTGAGGTTGTTGCTGCTGTGGGGTTGCTGCAGCTGCAGGGTTCTGCTGCTGTTAAGGTTTATGCACTACACTCACATCACTCTGTCTCTGTTCTCGCTATTCTCAGCATGTGCTTCTCCAAGGTAATTCATTTGCTGCTGCTCCTGCTGCTGCTGCTGCTGCTGTTGTTGGGGTGCTGCTGCTGTTGTTGGGGTGCTGCTGCTGCTGCTGCTGGATTGCTGCTGCTGCTGCTGCTGTTGCTGGGTTTCTGTTTTCAGTGCTGCTGTCTTTTGTTCTTTATCTTCTGCTGCATCTGTTGATATGTTTCATCTCCTGCTGCTGCTGCTGCTGCTGCTGCTGCTGCTGCTGCTGCTGCTGCTGCTGCTGCTGGTGCTGCTGCTGCTAGGTAGCGGTGGTGAAGCCGTTGATGAGCCGTGGGGGCAACAGCGAGGTGTATGTGTTGGGTGTGGGGTTTCGCGGGATCCGATCCCCGCTGCTGCGGGCCCTCACCAACGCCGTGGATCGATTCAAACCCCACAAAGCCATCATACCCAGAGACTGGCTATCACACGTATTTTATTTATTTTTTTTTATTTTTATTTATTTTTATTTTTCTTTTTGTTTTTTGTTTTGTTTTCGTGGTTTTTTGCTTGCTTGGTTTATTTATTTATTTATTTATTTATTTATTTATTTATTTATTCGTTTATTTAGTTTATTTTTTTGTTTGTTTATGTTTATATGTATTATATTTACTGTCTCCTTTTTCTGTTTCTCTATCTCCTTTCTTCATTCTGTCTGTCTCCTTTCTCTTCTCTGTCTCCTCTCTTTTCTCTGTCTCCTTTCTTTATTTTTTTTTCTCTTTGTCTCTGTCTGTGTCTCCTTTTCTCTCCTCTTAAAAAAACCCTTAACACCCCTTCTTTTTTCACAGCAGCTAAAATTCAAGGGTTTAGGGTTTAGGGATTAGGGTTTAGGGTTTAGGGTTTAGGGTTTAGGGTTTGTGCAGGAGTTTTTAAACGAATGCCGGCAATGCGCGGAGTATTTCACCCGGCTGCAGGCGGAGCACCTCGAGCGTTCCCTTGAGTCCGTTCTCCCCCCCCCCGCAGCAGCAGCAGCAGCAGCAGCAGCAGCAGCAGCAGCAGCAACAGCAGCAGCAGCAACAGCAGCAGTAGCAGCAGAAAAGCAGCAAAAGCAGCAGCAGGAAGAAGCAACAGCAGCACCAGCACCAGCACCAACAGCAGCACCAGCACCAGCACCAACAGCAGCAGCACCAGCACCAACAGCAGCAGCAGCAGCACCAGCACCAACAGCAGCACCAACAGCAGCAGCAGCAGCAGCAGCAGCAGGTTGTGGTGGGTTTGTGTGTTTGTTGCTGCATGCATGCAGGCGGTTCAAGTCGATGAGCTCACACGAGCTGTGGCAGCTGGCGATGATAAAAGAACAAACCGCCGAGGACTTCATCGCAACCAACAGACTCAGGTTTCACAAACCCTAAACCCTAAACCCTAAACCCTAAACCCTAAACCCTAAACCCTCATTAGACTTACTGCAGCACAACACCACAAACAAAAGTAAAACCACATGTATCCTCGCTCTTACATTCTTTCCCTTTAACCCCTCTACACACAAAAAACTAAAACCAAATGTCTAGGGTTTAGGGTTTAGGGTTTAGGGTTTAGGGTTTAGGGTTTGTTGCAGGCCTATTCGCTTCGAGGACCGCCTGGTGCCGGACAAGGATTTTGTGAGGGTTTGGGAGACACACGGATTCACCAACTCCACCAGAGGAGGCAGCAGGCATGCTCTCCTGCTGCTGCTGCTGCTGCTCCTGCTGCTGCTGCTGCTGCTGCTGGTGTTGCTGCTGCTGGTGTTGCTGGTGTTGCTGGTGTTGCTGTTGCTGTTGTTGCTGTTGTTGCTGCTGCTGTTGCTGTTGCTGCTGCTGTTGCAACATTTGCTGCTGTCGCTATATTTGCTGGTGCTGCTGCTGCTGCTTCCTGCTGTTCCTTTCGCTGTATTTTTTGCTGCTGCTGCTGCTGCTGCTGCTGCTGCTGCTGCTGCTGCTGCTAGTGGTCCTGCTGCTGTGTCTGCTGCTGCACGGGTTGTTGCTGCTGTCTGTTGCTACTAGTGCTGCTGCTGAAGTGCTGCTCACCCTTGCGCTGCTGCAT